TGGGGGGGGGGGGGTTAGAGGTACGAGTTCCGTTTTGTTCCATAAAACATGGACCAGGAAACGACGAGGCGTCGTCCAATCGTTCATATTGTCTATCTCGCGCTGCTGTCCGCCCACACCTTGTATGGCATGAAGCATGTAGCCCGGAATTCTAGTTCGGCGTAAACGCCGCCGGAACGCAAATAAAACCTTCGGAAAAAACCTCCCACCCCTTTCGGTGCCCGTGCAAGTCACTCTTGGCAGAGGTACTCTATGGTGATGGTATGCATAGTCGTGTTGGTTGCTCATCGCCGTCTTCCCCCCTCTTCAGTGTCTTCGGGTTTCCTTCTTGTTTTGAGATACATATCTGTGGGAGACAAGGGTAGGTGGGTGCTGCTGCTTCTCTTGCTTCTTGGGCATCTCCTGTTGCATGGTGTTACCTGCGTGCACGTTTCCCTCTTCTCATCGACGGAGGAAGAGGCCTTGCGCGTTACACGTCGGTGTGTGCGTTGCCGGTGTACCCGGATTTTTGGTGCAGCTTACGAATTTGTCTTTCCTTTCCTCATGAGTTTTGTTCCGTGGAGGCTTTCTCGTGACTAGTGTGATTACAGCCGGCGTCTCGTATTGTAGGTGGCATTACAAATTGTCGCCTGCGACGGTTGGATTTTTTCCTGGAAGTGTCGGGTTGTAGTAAAACGCGGTACGATATTGTGTTCGACGGTGTGAACGAGTTGTATTCCAGCGGCAGCAGAGGCGGGAGCAGTGATGTTGGCACGCGCATTTCGTGTCTGGTGCCTGGCTCCTCGCAGATGCGCTGATGCAAAAACGGCAGTACGGAGAAAAGAATGTCGACGGCGCGTGTACTGTACAAAGTTGTGAGGCCAGCAGCAGCAGTAGCTTAGCACAAAAGAGTGTCATGCACGGAGGAGATGCGTATAGTCTTGAGAAAAATGGTATTTCGTTTGTTCAGACCAACGGGGGGTGCCGTCATGGGGGTTGGTGACAAGATAAAATAATTAGTACAATCCGGTGTTTTGGGGGGTTCTTGGAGGTGCCTGTGCCGGGGTGGGGAGTGGGGGGGAACGACCGCGCGGCACTATTATGCGTTAAACCCTTGGCGACGAGTGAAATGTCATCAAATTAGATGGCGGGGAACCCGGGCTGTACGTACATGAAGCTGGCTGTTGTTGGTAGTACTTCGTTGCCTGATGAGGGGAAGTAGAAATCAACGTCATGATATCCTCTCTGGAAAATACGCTGCCTTGGTGAAAACCCGCCGCTTTGGTAGAAAGCGGTAAATATCGTCAGAAGACGTGTGTTCGGCACATGTAGGAGCAATCAGAGCCGTTTGGCGACCAATCAGCGATGATTTGACTCCACCCCCGCGCCCCGCGAGATTCCCGGACTCTACAATAGATGAATGTGTTTTCCGACAAGTTGTGATTGTTTTCGCCCAGCACGGCGGACAGATCAATCGGCGTTTGTTTCCCTTCGGTTTTCGTGACCCTCAGACTAACGAGACAGGTCCCTCTCGCTCGTTACCTCGAGCCGCTACATACCTCGAGGAGATCGAAGACAATCGCTGCGGGAGAAATCTTTACTGTTTGGCCCCGCGGCTGGAACGCCCTGAAGCGTACGACCATGAAACGGCGTAGAGACTAGCAGATCCACCCGTCCGAAACAGATGGTGGTGACCCTCGCCCCCTTAGCTCCCACCACAACGGCATTCGGACTTTTCCCTTTTCGCCGTGAAAAATAGGGGGGCACTACTCTACATACCGTCGTTCCTGATGCACCAACATGTATCGTGCGCAAGACTTGAACAGGTTTCGCACAAAGTTTGGACTTTTGACCTTTTCTCCAATTCTTCCTCACAACGCGAGAAAACTTGAACATGACTTGAGACCCTTACTACCTAGAAACGAGACGGTGCACCCCATGTATCAAACCGCCGGCAAGGAAGGATGGTGCACCACGAAAAAAACGAACATGCTGATGGTGTTTGTCAAGTGAAAAAGCCTTACACGCAACTCTTCGCTTAATTACTTCATGCATGCACGTCGTGATGTATTGTCACCGTTGTCTCAGCCCCCCGTGAGTCCGTACTCTTCTCGACTCCAGTCCCTAACCACCACACCTACGCTACTCGTAGCGTCCTACAACGGAGGCCCATGACAAAGCACCACCAAAAATCCAACATGTTGACATTAAACATGTAGGCTACATGATTTAATGCGCAGACATAAAGTGAACCAAGCAAACACAACGGTTTGAGACAACCAAAAAACTGTTGGAAGAAAAACAAACCGCTTCAGATAAACACACCGCAGAAAGAAGACAATGCTGTCGTTTTTTTGTTTCTCGCCCCCAAAACGTCGCCTCGTCTAAACAACATAGAAAGATAAAAAACTACGTACGTACATACATAGACGCACACAAAGCACTTATTCCACCAGACATCGCCTCGTCAAAACAGCAGACAGACAACAGTTGCCACTAATCGATAGACACGACACCACATGATAGACAACTGCACCAATCGGCCGTGCGAGTGTTTCACCAATACTCTGCAACGTACGCCCGGTATCACGCGCCTGCCTAAAATACCGCAAGCGTGCGGGTGTTGCTACCATTTCGTGTGGTCGCATTCGCTTGCTTTGCTTTACCCCCACCCCTTATCCCTCCTCTCAATACGCCAACAAATACGCCAGGTATATATGAAAAAAAACGCCAAGCAAGTCACGGCAGGCACTATAGACTATGCAGTAGAAAACAGACGAGATCCCCCCTCCTGACGTTTCGCGCCACCACTGAAATATCTCTGACTTCATCCGACGCTCGTTTCGCAATTTCTGTGTAGGGCACTGCTGCTGCTGCTGTTTCACAACATCGAAAGCATTACAATGCTAGAATAGGGCTCTTGCTAGTACGTCCAGAAGAAGGTTCTGAGCAGAGAGAACGGAACGGTTTTTATGTGAAGACAACCACAACAAGAACAACCTGAGCACCTGCTTTTCTTACGGCCGGGTCCTTTAATTCATCATAATCTGAGCCTAAGTTTCTCACCTCGTAGTAGGTGTTACGCTCTTTTTATCGTACGCCTGCATGCATGCATGCCATCTGAACATACATCCCTCCCTGTGATGCCGTGTGGACCTTGCTTGGTCTACACACCCATGACCCCGACAGACGATCATGGTCAATAACAGCCACCCATGACCCCGACAACAAACATGATAAATAACAGCCGCCCTGATTGAAGAGCGATAGTCACGATTAGTAAAGAACGGCTTCACCTAGTCCTATGCAAAAATAACTTCAATTCTGCTACGTGGGCCCAATCCTCCCTCCACCACCCCTCCTGGACCCCCCGCGCGTCCATGACCCCCCCACTATCCGTGTCCACTCGCAATATAAGAGTTGTGTCCAGCATTCCTTCTCCATGCAATGAATAGCTTACATTTTCTCCCACAACCCGTGGCTCATGCGCAACAACCTTTACGTTGCCCTATCGCACACGGACACTTAAAAACCACCGTTTTCGTTTATATCCTCTCATACCCTCCTTTTCGAGCAAAAAAAACACGGTCAGGAGGCCCGTTGTGGGCCACTGGTCGGCAGGATCACACATCCATGATGACGCGATGATCGGTTCTCTATGTCCGGGTGGTTGAGTGACCGCCCTAACCCGCCGATCTCCGCTCCCTCCAGCCCATCGAGACGGTCAGGTCAGGGCCACATGAGCCAGGGGTGGTGCTGAAGATCTCGCACCGTTGACCTCTCGCTCGGGTCGAAGATGAGACACGATTGNGGGGGGGGGGGGGGGGGCGTCCACAGACAACACGCGCGAGTGGCAAGCACGCTATTTCTGTGAGTTGTTTTTCAAATTGTGGCACCATTTGTTTTTCTTGCTCAAATCCAACACCCCCCCCTCCCCCCCCGAAAGTCACATCGCGAGGGCTTGAACTGCTACATCCAGACCTTCGTCGAAGCAGACCTCGTTAATTATAACCACCTCATGTCCAAAACCTTGGCATGAAGGTCGCGACTTTCCAGGTAAACAGAGCAAGTATTTAGATTCTGGTGTTGGCCTGCCGGTAACATATTTTAGAGTATCATCCTTAGTGAGAGCGTACGGAAAACAAACAGAGACAACGAAGAGAGGAGCTGACACCGGGCATCACATAGCAAGACGCGCGATAGTTCCAAAGCGAACAGATAATTTCGACGCACTTGCTTGCGTGTGTTTTCACCTTAGTATGACAAATCTGTTTCTGAGGGTACCAGGGTAGTCGTGTTTTCTACACGCCCACCTCGTCGGACATTGTTAGCCCCCACCGCCTGACGACCTCCAACAAGCCGCGCTCGACGGCGATGGTGTGGCAGCGGTGGTCCCGTGCGGGGATCGGGATGTGGAAGGGAGGGATCCCTGCGAGCGTGCTGTGAACAACGACGGCAACAACAGCATCAACAGCAAGGCATCGACAAGCAGCATGGTTAGCAGGCGCGTTGACGCAAGATAAAAGGGTAAAGGAGGAGGAGGAGGAGGAGGAGGAGGAGTGGTACAAGACAGCCGGAGGAGGACTGTCTGGAGAGCGACACACTAGCTTGCGCCGTGCCGGGGCCATATATTTCCTGTGGTCTATCCTGGCGGTGTCCTTGAATCGAGTGCGTCTGGCGGGAACCAAAATGGTTCAGAGCAACGACCAATCTCCGGGCCTAGGATTCCGCCCGCCTCCGGTGGAATTCACGGAAGGATCTGCTTGTATGTCTGGTCGAGTTTTACGTACACCTTTCGGCACTATCTTGGCTAATGACCTGGGAAGGTGACAGAGATCTTTTTGCTTGCGTGGAGTCACGAATGTTAAAATCTGTATGTGGTCAAGCTACACCTCATAGTTGATAGGGAACAATGACAGTGTCGCCGCGCAACCCAAAGCATTCGGTGCCCGCCCGCATACCAACCCCCCCCCCCCCCCC